AGCTGGCCACTCTGGTGGCAGAGTGAGCACGTGCCTAGACCCAGATACAGATGCATGTGGCCAGAACACTCTCCCTGCATTCTGCTGGGGTGCTGGCAGGCTGGGGTGAGCTGCTGTGTTGGGCAGACAAAAGCCCTGGGTTCAAGGCTGGGGCCTGAAACTGTCAGTAAAACCAGCTGAATGTCACATTATTCCTTTTGGCTTTGAATATAATCATATCTGGTAATTATGGAGTTTGTATCTGCTTTGGGGACAAGACAAGGGGATGGTCTTTACATGGGTTGTTTTGTAGGATTCAGATTACACTGCCTTTCTAGTTCTGGAAAAATCATGGAGTAGGTCCTCAAGGAATCCATTTCTAAACACTTGGAGGAAAAGGTGATTAGTCAGCATGGATTCACCAAGGCCAAGTCATGCCTGCCAAACCTGATTGCTCTGTGGAAGAGGGAAGTGCAGTAGACATGATGTACCTCAGCTTTAGCAAGACTTTTGATATGGTCTCCCACAACATTCTTACAAGCAAGCTAAAGGAGTATGGGTTGGATGAATGGACTGTAAGGTGGATAGAAAACTGGCTGGATCATTGGGCTCAGAGTGTAGTAATCAATGGCTCGATGTCTAGTTGCAGCTGGTATCAAGTGGAGTGCCCCAGGGGTTGGTCCTGGGGCTGGCTGTATTCAGGATCTTCATTAATGACCTGGAACATGGGATGAAATATACCCTCAGCAATTTTGCAGATGTCACCATGCTGGGGGGAGTAGTAGATACACCAGATGGGGTAGGGTTAGGATTCAGAGTGACCTAGACAAATTGGAGGATTGGGCCAAAAGAAATCTCATGAGGTTCAATAAGGACCAGTGCAAACTCCTGCACTTAGGACAGAATGGTCCCATGAGCTGGTACAGGCTGGGGACTGACTGGCTAAGAAGCCACGCTGCCGAAAAAGTGGCTAAGCAGCAGCTCTGCAGAAAAGGAGCTGGGGGATTAAAGTGGACAATAAGCTGAATATGAGCCAACAGTGCCCTTGTTGTGAAGAAAGCTAACAGCATACTGGGAGTGTTGCTAGCAGATTGAAGGAAGTGATTCTTCCTGTCTGTTCAGCACTGGTGAAGTCTCATCTGGAGTACTGTGTCCCTCACTACACGAGTGTTGTGATCAAATTGGAGAGTCCAGAAGAGGGCAGCCAAAATTGTTAGGGGGTAGAGCACATGACTTGGGAGGAAAGGCTGAGGGAACTGGACTTACTAAATCTGGACAAAAGAAGACTGAGGAGGGATGTAATAGCAGCCTTCACCTACGTGAAGGATAGTTCCAAAGAGGATGGAGTGAGACTGTTCTCGGTGGTGGCAGATGAGAGGACAGACCAATAGTCTCAAGTTGTAGCAAGGGAAGTTTAGGTTAGCGCTTAGGAAAAACTTTTTCACTAGGAGGGGGTAATAAAGCACTGGAATAGGTTACCCAGAGGGGTTGTGGAATCTCCATCTTTGGAGATTTTGAAGACCCGGCTAGACCCTTGTCTGGGATGGGTCCTGCTTTGTACAAGGGGCTGGACTAGATGACCTTCTGAGGTGCCTTCCAACCCTAATTTTCTATTACTCTTTTCCCTTCTATCCTTTATACTCCGGCAGCCTCCCTCCTGGCATAATTATATTCTATTAAACACTTCATCTGGGAGCCAGAAAGTTAGGACTGGAGAAGGGAAAGATCTCCTCCAGCCAATTCTTCCCCTCATGCTGATGCATTGCTCTTTGTCCCAGTTGCTTCACTTGAGAGACTAGCTAGAGAGCCCCAATCTCAGACTATAGACAGATATTCTGTTTGAAGCACTCTGAACAGTGATGGTGTAAACATTTGTGACCAGAGTGCTTCAGAAATGAGCCACAGAAAAGAGGTCCATCTTTGAAGCACTTTGTTATGAAATGAAGTGAAATGTCTTCTGGCATCCTGCAATACTGTGCTCCCCTCTTATCACCTCGTTGATTCTTCAGAACTTCTGGAGACTGAAGGCCAAGAGGCAAGCAGGTACTCCTGTTCTCCAAGTGTTTCAAATGCAAGTCTGTCCATATTCTCAGACAAGCACCCACTGGCAAACTAAGCACCTGATCCATGGCTATTCTAACGACTTTATTCTGGCCTTAATTTTGGTTGTGGAGTTAGACCCAGATGATCCTGTGAATGCAGTTTATATGTAAAAAATTTCCTTTCTGCAGAATTTCAGAGGTTGTTGTGTATTCCAGTTCATGAGCTTGAATCTTCCAGGCCCATCACTTCTGTGTCATTTACTGTGACTGAACCAGAAGAAGTTATAGTTATATTCTGTATTGGAGCAATCGTATTATTTGTAGTCTTTTCTCTAAGATTGACAGATTCCAACAGTAGAAGTTTTTCAAAATGTCATGGGCTGGATCCGATGATCTGCGAGGTCCCTTCCAGCCCCTAACAATCTATGAATCTGTTCTGAGTACAAAATGCTTTAAGCATTCAGATGAGAAGGAACAGCGGTGTAATGGACTGTGAAATTTATTATAATAATAAAGAGAGAGGTGGTACTATCACCTAACTTGGAGGTCTTCAAGAGGAGGCTAGATAGGCACCTGGCTGGGGTCATCTGACCTCGGTCCTCTTTCCTGCCTGGGGTAGGGGGTCAGACACGATGATCCTTTGTGGTCCCTTCCGACTCTACAATCTATGAATATTTCTGTTTTAACATTATAATGTTATGCATCTCAGTTTCTCTGACTAACTTATAAAAGTGGGAAAATATGGGGCTGTCTGTCAGGCTGCTGTTCTACCTGATAGAAGATGCATCCTTCCACAAGGATTTGAATATACTTGCTGAAATATCAACAGCAGAGTAGGAGGTGATGCCCAGGAGATTTCCAGGGAAACTGGAGGAAATAAGCATCACAGTGGGCAGAGCAGCTGGAAAAAGGATGAACTGATGAGCTGGAGAATCTGGAGGAAGTTGAGAGAGCAAGTCAACTGCCAAGTTCGTTTAAGGGCACTCGGAGACTGTGGGGACTGGAGGGAGAACAGCTGAGCTAAATTTGGTGTGCTCAGAGTTGTGCAGGCTGGACTTGCACTGAATTGGAGAGGGCAGAGTGTTTTTGCTCTGGCCTTTGCCCCAATATCCATCTTTATTGAAGAGAAACCGTTTGCTTTGCTGCTTGCATTTGGGGTGTACTCCTTTCCTGTAGTGGATATGGGGTCAGGGACTGAAACGCCAACGTCTCAGAGTTGGAAGAAGTCCAGGCCGGCTTCAGGGCATACTCGGACAAGGTGGGAGAGGTCTGGAGTAACCATCCCTTGCGGGTATCAGTGACATGTAACTCATACCTAATTTAATTCTAGTATTCTTTTTTTTTTTTAATATTAGAAGTTACTCAGTACAAACTCTGCAACTTCTGTAATATAACTGAATAGCAGGCATCCTCTATAAATTCTCTTAACTCTGAGAAAACATCTATTTTTTTTTTTTCCCCATAGCATATGCCTTGTGAGGTTTATGATATCTTTAAATGACTCCTTAATTGTCCCGGCATCAAGCACTGAAATGTCGCTATGCCATGACATGCTTCAGGGCTAGCTAAAAATTGTGCCATGACTAGATTTTACTGACTTTAAAAATATTTTAGGATAACTTTAGGAAATTATATTATTCTTTTATGTGTTTTCATTAAAAACTGTGTGAGAATTTTGAGCAGACTTCTGTTATCTTGTAAGAAAAACATTGTATTCTTCATGAAAAAGAGGTTGTTGGGGAGCATAAGAAGAAAAATACAATATTGGCTTACTGAATGATTGGGGAGAATGATAAGATACCATTGCATAATTACTATATAGGCAGAAAACAAAAAGCTTTCTGTACGGAAAATTAGAGGTGGATTGGAAAAAGCCAAAGAGCTCTGTTTAGATTTCTTAGTGATAGTCGTGAAAATGGCACAAGAAGTTAGGAAGAGTTTCAAAGGATGAGAATATGATATATTTCTCTTTGTGTTTTGCACTTCGATAAGATTTTTGTTTTGTTTTACTTTCTTGCAGTGGTGATTAATGTTGTGGCTTTCTTCTTTTAACACGTGTTGGTTTCTTGGTGGTAGGATAGAAGGGAACACTCCCATAACCTAGGTGCTTCTAAATGTGTGTAGAAAGGTGGATGTAGACTAGCAAGACTACACGAAAAAATCCATCTTCTGTCCTGTTTAGGACTCATGACAGAACTTAGTATCATCCTTATTGCAACTTTTAAAATCCTGATTGAAAGAATTGTTGGCCCAATTATACTTTGGGAATATTATAAACAATGATATTTGTGTTCTCCGATGTCATTTTAAAGGAAAGGGGGAAAATCTGCTTGTGCCCCTTCATTCATTTTTTGTTCTCTAATGATGCAGAACTATCTAGGACCTGAAATTTTTTTAATTGTTTTGGTTTTTATACTAACATTCTGCCAGGAAAACCATATAGAGCTGAGACTAATGCAATGTGACCAGCAAACCAGAATAGTGATTTTTTTTTAAAGTACAGTTTAAACCTTCTTTTTAATATCAATTTAACTTCAGCTGTTAAAGTTTCGAATAAAGGCAGCTTTGTTATAAATTTCACACCCTCTTCATTTTAGTTGAAATGTTAAGGTCCACAATAAGCCACTTCTACCACCTCTCAGGTATTTTCTTAAGAAACCAGGGAGAACCCAACTTGACAGTTCCCGATTTAAAAATAGACAAATAAAACATCCTTTTTTTTTTTTTAAACCTATGCCTTTTAGACCTCCTTGTTGAACTTTAAGAAGAAGTGGGTTTAAAATGCACACAACCCCTGCCCCCAATATTGCAGGTCACAGTTAAAAACCAAGAAACTTGCCTTGTTTGTGTGGGTACAACTTTGTGCTTACAGCTATTTGCACCTGTAAAAAGCCTGTGTAGGATTAGTTGAAAACCTTTCCCTTAATATTTCAAAACTCATATTATCTCCTTATATTTAATTGTTTTCTATATCTTTAGGTTGCTATGGAGTTGATGGAGAGAGTGACTCTATTATGAGTTCAGCTTCAGAAAACTCCACTGAACCTTGGTTTTGTGATGCCTGTAAATGTGGTGTCACACCTAGCTGTGAACTATGTCCTAACCAAGATGGAATCTTCAAGGAGACTGATGCTGGCAGGTAAGATGTTAGAATTGATAATCTGAATACTGAATTCAAATTATCTTAAATGTATAAGTTAAATGTGTTTAAAAGGTGATCCCAGACCTATTCCTGTGTATTTCAGTAGGTGACAGGAACTTTGGCCCTGGCACATGCTAAGTTTCTACCAGAAAAGTTGTTGCTTTCCCAATAGAAGCTACAAGTTTACAAGTGTTCCTTCAATTTCTTCCAAGGGAAACATGACCTCTTTGGGCAGAAACATCTTCTAGATGTTAACATAGATTTCTCTTGAAAGAGAAGCCTATGAAAGAATGCTTGTATGCTTCCTTCCCAACTTGGTTGGGGAGGGGAGTAGAACAGTGGGGCAAAAACCCTTGTCCTTTGCTGAGACTGGGGAGTTGGTGAGGAGCTTTGGCTGCTCCAGTTGCCTCTGGGACTAGCCTGGGAGAGGAACGGAACACCTGCTTCTTGCCCTTTGCCTGCTCCTCAGACAGTGGTCCACAGTCTGGGGAGCAGACATGGGTTCTGTCTACTGCTACCTCAGTATGCTCCTGGTGACAAGAGCAGAATGGAGGAGAAGCTGCTCCTCACTACCCTCATCTGTTTCCCAGACTGGGCTGATCAGTCTGGAGAGCTAATGGGGATTTGCCTTGTTTCTTCACGTGGGCACTGGTGGTTAAGTGGGCTGACGGTGTGCCCTCTGTCCCTGGTGGCTTCGGGTTCCCCTCTCAGAGACCCTTTTCTTCTCTTAAATCCCTGCGTTCCTATTCTTTATCCCCTTTGACTCTTCATTCCTGGGCATCGTTAATTGGTTTCCCTGTGGTTGTCATACTGTTCACATTTTGTCTTGTTGGCATATTCCTTTGTTCCAACATTCGTCACATGTACACATCTTAATTTGGTTATTTACCAGTCCTCCTAATTTGGTCTGGTCACCAAAGCCGGAAATCCCAAGGGCTCTGCAGTTTGGCACTGTGACCTGGCGCCAGTGTTACAGAGTCCCTTATGTCTGTTTGGGTACACATTGTTCATGTTATAGAACAGTGTGGTACATGTCATCAATTTCCCAGCCTGTGTATCTGCTGGTTTCAGACACAGTGGGCCTTGAAGCAAGCTGTCTCAGAGAGGCTTTTAGAAATCAATTAACCCTGGCCATTTCCCTGGATCATTGTTCTAATGCAATATTTACTTTACCTACAAGCCAGTTCCCAGAAGCAAATCTCTAAATACCACTTTCTAGCTATCGCTTCAGTCTCCTCCTGAAATATTTCTTGCACCTTCCTGGTCTGAGGGAATGGGTGCAGGTCTGTATGCATCCTTTCCTGACAAGATTTTTAGTGATGGAAACTTCTCTGAAATTTCCACAGCCAGAAATGAACACCTCTTTGAGGGCATGCATGAAATTTCATTAGTTGATCTCTTCTTATTTTGATTTAGAAGAGTGTTTGTATTGTCTAGTCTGACATTCAATTTTTGTGTACTCTTTTAACATCCTTCATATCATATATATTAAGAAGATGTTGACTTTGATGCATTTGAACATCAGGATTTATGGACCTGTGTTCTAAAGATTGACAGAGGTAACACAAAGGCCAGTATTTCCCTAGGGGATGATAAATCTTGATTACTAATATAGGAAGTCAACGTACAGAGAGATATTCTGAAGGTCTTAATTCGATATGCTGGGAACTCTTTTCTTCATAGCCCTGAACTGCTTGCTTGATGCAACTCTTTTTGTAAAAGCTAATATTCTAAAGGAGAAATGAAGTTAAAGGTTCAGAAAGCGATTTGCTCCTTTAAAAAAAAAAATGTATTTCAAGCTTTTCAACTGGGTTTACCACTAAGGCGTCCGGAGTGAAGTTCACATTAAGATGTGCATTTCCCATGTACAGGAAGATAATATTAATGACTTGAAAAAGAAGCAGTAAAAACTTTAAATGACAAAAGAAGATTAAATGAGGATTAAATGGTCAGCCGGCCAACTGTTCTTGACAACAGTGGACAAAAATATAATGTTGCTTCATGAACCTAGTCTTGGTTAATTTCTTGTGGCGTTGAAGTCCAAAGGAGAGGTCCTGCAACTTGGTTCCTTGAACCTCAGCCCTATAGTAATTCATCTCAGCTATTTTTGGGAAACAGTTTTTATGGCAGGTTGGAGGGATCTTTCAGTAGCTGAAATAAAGAGAATTATTATCTGGATATTAACCAACACCTTGAATTTTACTTGCTAACTACAACAGTGTATTTTGGAACCATTTTTGTGCCCTGTCCATCCTCTTCTCCTCTCTAATATTTTTGCTTTGTATGCATGGCAGCTTGATATTGAAGATCATCTTGACAGTTGACAAGCATATACCCTCATTTGAGGGATTGGTCAAAGATTTTATAATTTCTTCTGTGTATGACCTCAGTCTTTTCCAGACTGCTAGCTTTCATTCTCATCCTGATCTCTGCCAAATATCAAATATAGGAGGGCAAAGAAATATTTCAGTCTAAAAGTCTGAGGAGCAGGTAACTAAGTAAGCTGGGTACCATCAGCCTCTTGAAATATTGTATCTCTGTCTTCTCCCAGTGGTTTTACATGTTGTTAAGTGCAGTAACAAAATTTAACTAAAGTTGGATCTTGAGCCTGACAGTGTTCAGACAAGCATAGAAGTTTCTTGTCAGTACTCTCAAGTCTTTGACAGGAATGAGCAGAGCCATTCTAAAATGATTCCTTCCATCCCCATCAGATTCCACTAATAGATTAAGACACTGAATGGTTATGGTAATGAATTTTCTCTTTAAAAAAATAGGATTAGTCTGACTTCTGTATAATGCCATTGGGATATCTTTCACTGTATGCTTATACAAATCTGAAACTTCTCATAGCCAAAAAAACAGGTAGGTTTTCATATTGCTGGGCATGTCATTAAATTTTCATCAAACTTCCTAGCAGAGACAGCCGTTACAAATAGTTTGTTTGATGTTACATTACACAAGTTTCTGTCTTCAGTAAAGTAAATATAAGGTTAACAGTGGCACTGATAGTTTTAATTCTGGCAGGTGAAATTGTGCTAGTGTTTTGAGTTAGGGGTATTTTCTTCTTTAACTTTTGATATTACCCTCACAGCTGTAGCTATTGACTGAGCACTGTAGTTTGTGCTTGAAACGGCAAGTGAGCTGTTGGTAATATCCTGATGAGGCTTATAATGTGGAAACAACATTTAATTTACAGAAACTTACAGTGAGCTATTTTCCATAAGGAATTAATAGCCTTGTTACTGCCCCTGCAAGCATGTGGATCTAACCATGTGTGACAGAGAACATAAAAACGTAAGACATACCATACTGGGTCTACCATTTGTCCATTTAGTCCGGTATCCCTTCAACAATGGCAGCATGGATGCTATAGAGCGCTGGGGGTGGGGGGGGAGGGGTACATGTATAATATGGCCTGCAGTCCAGATCTGGCCCACCAATTGATTCTGTGTAGCCTGCTGCGGGTTCCTTGGCCCCATCTGTCCTAGGCTCGGGGAGGGTAGCCCAGCCATGGCACATGTGGCTAGTCTCATCGGCCCCCCGGTGTTGAAATGCTGCCTGGTGCAGAATGCATCCTGCTCTATCCTTGCATGCGGTTCTTGGGCATGCCAGGAACTGTATTCCACAGGGCTGGACAGTGGGGTGGCACGGTGGCCAGACTTGGTTTCTTGGTAGCCCCTGTGCCAACAGTTTGTTCTGCCCTCACACTTCCGGCTGCTGCTGCCAGGCTGTCCCCCAACCCCAGCCCCGGACCTGCTGTCCATATACCCCACACCTGTTGTCGGCGAGTAGGGTCTCTGTGGAGACCCGCCTGGCACCCCCAGGGACAGGGTGTGCTCATCCAGGTGAATGGAATGGGGCTGCAGGCGGGCAGAGTGGTGTCTGGGAGTTGGAGGGGTGAGTGGGACCAGGTTCGGGGCTGGGATTATAGGGTGATGACAGCATAGTTCTGGGACCCATGACAGAGCTGCGATCCACTCCCTATACATCCCTGTGATGGGCTCTGGTTCCGTGGGCAGGCTGCTGCCCATGGAACCAATGCCCAACTCGGGGATGTGGGTGGAACAGGTCATGGCTCTGCCTCGGGCCCTGGCCCTGCCTCCTGCCCTAGTCCTGTATATTGCTCCCTGCCTGCTTGTGGTCCCATCCCATCTACCTGACTGAGGGCTTCCTGCCCACAGGAGTCCCAGGCTGGTCTCTTTGGAGACCCCTCCCACCCACTAATTCCATCTGGGGTGCTGGGTGCAGGGCTGATGAGCCTGGGGCTGGGATCAGTTGATATCTCCTTGCTTCCCCCAGGTGGTGTAAACAGCTGTGATAGAAGGCCAAGGTCGGGTCATTAATGCCCCCCTCCCCCCAACAATGTACCAAAACTCCTTAAGTGGCTCTCTAGCCCAAATAATTCCGCCCCCCCCCCAACTGTAGAGTAGAGCAAGGATGCTCAAGCTCCAGCTTTCAAGCCAGATCCAACCTGTGGTGTAATGTCATCAGGGCCACAGGTCTTCCTGCAGGTCCAGATATGTGGCAGAAAGGGAGTAGCGGCACCCATGCCCTGCTGCCTGATCTTTGGATCTGTGAGGAGCCCCAGGTTCTCTGCACTGGATCCAGCACTCAATCCCAGCATGCATGGCCAAGTGAGGGCAGTGATGTTCCCAGGACCAGTCCCAATGTGGGGACTGGCAGTGGGTGGCGGTGGCATCAAGCTTCCTGGACTCAATCCCAGTGGGAGGGGATATTACCAGCCCCCTAAAACCCAGTCATGTTGCTCAGGGCATTGGAGGGGTTGATACAACTCCCTGGGGCCCAGTCCTTGCATGGGAGTGAGTTGTACAGTCTCCCCCTTGGGACCTAATCCCAGTATGGGAGGGGGTGGTACTGGTCCCCCAGGTCCTAATGCTGGGGCAGGAGGGGGCAGTATTTGAATCCCAGGACCCAATCCTGGTGTGGGAGGGGGCAATATCAGTCCCCCAGAAACCAATCTTCTCTGGGCCCCAGTC